AAAATTTGACCAGCATAGAATATCATCCTCGATAATTTCCACCTCCGCTTCTGGTATAAAAGTGTAATAGAGTGTAAATAGAATATCAAACATAAATTAAGGATCATTATAACCTTGATTGATGGTCGGCGAGGTAAGGAATTTCGGATACACAGATAAGAGACAGACAGCCTCAGAAATCTGTGCAACAGACGAACTCTTGAGGCAAAAATTAAGACTAGGCGGTATATGGTGGATGGATGACTTCGAAATCCTCCTTGTTCACATCAAATTTGTGTTCTGCATCTATGGGATGGATGAGACAAAATAGAAGAATGAGTGGATTTCCTTTGTCCCTTACTTAACCGACCACTGTGCAGGATGGTATTCGAAAAGACGATGATAAACACGCCTCATTGTATGGCCTGTGTATAGAAGGCGAGATATGTGATGAATCATTACACTACAGGTTAGATTGTGTACGGGTGAGGGTAACAAATAATAGGTACGGAGATGACTCAAAGGTGTGGGTAAGAAGGGGTTAAAAATATTATGAATTAAATTTTATCCTTGGTTATAGATCGGATCACTAAGACAGATTTCAAGTAATAACAAATAAATTTTGGACATATAAGGCTGACAGATGTAAGTCCTTTTATCTTCAAGGCTTCAACGAATTTAAGTATTTGACCCAACCTTGTTTTATATGTGGGTTTAAAGGCATAATGTGCTTCGCTGTAGATGATGTTGGACATCTGTTCCCGCGATCAGTTGTATTTTTGGCGATTTTATATGTTGTTGCAGCCTTGAAATATGTTCTGTCGCCCTACCTTGTAGAGATCGATCAATCGATCCTACTCCCTATCTACGTGTATCCATACATATACATGTAAACTGATGAACACAATGGGTTGTGACACTATCATTCAGACACTAACTACTATGAGGGTTGACAGGACAGCATAGTTCTCGTTTCCTCTATGAAGATAAGTTTAGCCGCATATTAACTTCTATTAACTACCGCTTTGAGTCTTTGCCTGGTGAACATACTTTATTGATTACCTCTAAACGGTAAGGATATATAAAAATCCTTTTTGGGAGCTGATTACATCGATAGAGCTCTTTGTTTAACCTTTCGGTAACGCTTAACCAATCTCAACAGGTTGTTGGTATCTAACAATATATCTGTGAGATGTTGTGTTACTGCGATGTATCGCTTGTACATATACGGTGAATGTATCTGAGCGAATACTTAACCAACACCGTTTTATACTGTAGTGGGCTTCCTGTATTCAGATTGTTTTATTGACCCATCTTGTCAGTGGGTTATGAGCACATTTAAAAAAAAAATGGCATGTAATCATTATTCTGTTTCTATGTATGTTAGCGATATACTGTTTTGTTCTCTATTGATATGGTTAAGGATTTCTGTGAAATCTGTTATTTTTATCACAAATGACCACTATTATGTCATCCATGTAGTTTTTTATAGAAATAAACGTTTCCAATTACCTAGACAAGCCCTCGAGTGGAACCCGAAAGGGAGGCGGCGAATTGGTCGTCAGTGCAAAGGTGGGTGACTTGGAGGAGGTCATGCGAGGAGGAGATGAAAGCATGTGGACAGACTTGGAGAGGGGGGTGAAAAAGTTGTCAGAAAACAGAAGGCAGTGGAGGTGGGCAGCTGAAGCCCTATGTTCCTCTAGGAACTAAAGGACACAATAATAATTACCTCGTCAGCTAGGTTGTCAACATGCGACATGTATATGTCAGCTAAACTGGCTGAAGTAGCAGTCAAGACTTCGATGAACGTCTGGCTTCATACTGAAGGTCAAATGGCTGGCTGGCCAACCAGAAAGAATTACCAACAAGAAATTCTAGTAATGAACGAATCAATCAAGAGCCAATTGCTCAACAACATCAACATAATAGAAAATGAAGGTGGATTGATCAGGCACAGACGTGGCGAAATGTGGCCATCGAATGACATTGCACTCAATGCAAACTATCGTTCAGGTATAAGGTGAATGAAAAATAGCTGTATATATAATTATTGTGTGCTTGTGTGTGTGTGTACATGAAGTTTGTCAAGTTTAGACAATTGACTAAAATGTTTCAACTTAGGTCAGGATAGCACAACAGACGTAATTACAGGCAGAGAAAGACTAAGTAGAAGTGGGGTAGATAATAATGTCATTTAAATTAGAACTGAAATTGAGCAAATAAGTTGGATGGCGTAACATAGATGACTAGACATTGAGCGTTGTTCAAGTCAGTAACCATGTGGTAGTGAGGTGTAGAAATTACATCGGGTGGGGGTAGAGAACAACAAAGTTGAAAATGTAAAATATTACAATTAAGAAGACAAAATAATACTAATGAAGAGACAGAAGAGGATTTACCTGTCGGGTAATAAGATAGATAATATGAATGGGGAACGAAGAATTGGTTGTCGGTGTGATGGTGACATGGAGGAGATCGTGTGGCGAGGAGGAAGAAGTGAGAGGCTATGAGCAGATGGATGAAGAAGACAACAGAAAACGGAACATAGTGGAGATAAGTTGTTGAAGCCCTTTGTGTTCCACTCACAACCCAAGGGAATTATTATATTAATAATAATAGTAATGATGGACCAAAGGGTCTTCCCAAAGCAACATATCTTCTTACCAACACCTTTGAGTCATCTCCGTACCTATTATTTGTTACCCTCACCCGTACACAATCTAACCTGTAGTGTAATGATTCATCACATATCTCGCCTTCTATACACAGGCCATACAATGAGGCGTGTTTATCATCGTCTTTTCGAATACCATCCTGCACAGTGGTCGGTTAAGTAAGGGACAAAGGAAATCCACTCATTCTTCTATTTTGTCTCATCCATCCCATAGATGCAGAACACAAATTTGATGTGAACAAGGAGGATTTCGAAGTCATCCATCCACCATGTACCGCCTAGTCTTAATTTTCGCTTCAAGAGTTCGTCTGTTGCACAGATTTCTGAGGCTGTCTGTCTCTTATCTATGTATCCGAAATTCCTTACCTCGCCGACCATCAATCAAGGTTATAATGATCCTTAATTTATGTTTGATATTCTATTTACACTCTATTACACTTTTATACCAGAAGCGGAGGTGGAAATTATCGAGGATGATATTCTATGCTGGTCAAATTTTTACTTTTGTCTTCTAAATGTTTGAATGAATATTTTCGTGACATCTTTGAAATCTTCTTTCCATTAGACAGTAGTTAGCAACTAGTGTAATGTGTCTTCTACATAACTGAGTATGACAAGTACTTATGGGTATGTGTGTGTGTGTGTCTGTGTGTGTTTGATCATAATGTCAGAAATGTGTTGTACAAAAATACACACTACATGACACGTTCCAGATCAAAGTTAGTCTTCTTAAATGTTTTTTTTTACATAAATTCATAAAAGGAGACTAAATGGAAACAATGCTTTACTAATGAATTATATGAATAAGGCATTTGGAAGACAAATTTCGCGAGACATCAAAGACATCATCTTAATATGCGTACAGAAAATATTAGATTCACCCTACAAGAAGTGGCATACAAACAAATCGATAGTGTTGCGACGAGGTGGAGTCCGCTGTTGGGGCTTTGTAAGCAGATATGTATTCATGTCGAAATTGAAGAAACCAATGCTTGTCTGAAAATTTATGCCATTTAAATGTTATGAGGATGATACGCTCACTGATTACTAATAATAACAGTAGGTCTGTTGAAAACTTTATTACTCTATTGAATCATATTCATTCAAATATCCGAATGAATTCCGTATTCGATTTTCTGGATATATAAATTACCAGAAGAGACGATGGAATGATTAAGTGATCTCTTTTTTTTGGTAAGCAGACATGGAGTGGACAATATCTTCAATTCACCAGTTCCGTTCCTATCCAGTATACAGGTTCCCCTCTAGGGATAAAATGCATCTTTTCAAGGGATCTCTACATATGTACGAGTGACACATTGATGGATGAGCTTCGACATACACAACATTCAGTTTTATTAGCTAATGGTTACCAAGGTAACTAAATCAGGATAGACGACATTTAGAAACGTCAGCTTGTGTACCAAAGAAAGCTATCTTTATTAATCTCCCATTCAGGGTTGACCAGATAATGCAGTTGACGTCTAGCGCAAAGACTTCGGTCAGTCATCAAGCGCACGCATTCTACACCGCATTTCTTTCCCTCATATGCTGAACATTTTCCATCCATGTACCTGCGATTAAAGGATGAAATTCTGTGCACTCTACTTAAAACCGTATCTACAAGTTCACCTGCAGTTGCGGTAACACACACACTACATAAGTAGAACCAACAGAACCTTCCAATGTGATCGTCGAAAAGAACATCTTCAAAAATGGTTATTAAAACACACAGAAAATCCCAATGCAATGATCATTCTGAATTGAAATCCATCATCACCACCACCACCACCATCCATTGCAAAGCACTTATTCATATCAGGTCACATAATCAATATTTTTTGTTTGTTAATAGCTTGATTCGACATAGTACTTTTGGTACAAGTATGGAATTTTCAGTGTGTGATATCCGTAGCCCAAAATTTTTGCAGGTTGACCATTGATATCAGGTTTGTGTGCGTAGGTAGGGTATCGAACCCCAGAGCATGTACATGGTCGGCGAGAATTCTAACCACTGTGTCGCCGACGCACCATATTAATGAATGCTTCACAATTATTTCACTCAAGGTTGATTATTATTATTAAAGGTAATAATGAAATCACCATTCGGGGACTAATCACTTACATTCTAAACAATGTGTACAGTCAAAAATTAATAGACTTCAATCATTTCGCCTACCATGAACTGACTACTTGTGAATCAGTCATGTTGATGGTTGTAAAGATATTGTAAATAAAAACCGCGAAATTTACCCTATAGGGGTTTCCTTTTATTTCTTATTCTGGGATAATAACACTCAGGAGGGGGACAAGAACAAGAAGAAGAAGTAGAAAAAGTATCACTTACATGAAGTACAGTCATTTGTACAATCGAATAATCCATCGTGCCAGTCTCTTTGGCGAACTGCATACGGTTGACTCGTTGTTATACCGTCCATTTTGATGGGATAAGTTTTTAAGTCAGTCGATTAACCCCGCCAAAATAAAACGAACTGATTGCTCTAATAAAAAAATGTCACAAAGGGACTGAATAGCACAAAAGTATGTATTATGCATATATATATACTCCTAATCAGCGTTTATACTGTCCCTTCACATGATACAATCATCATTTAGAGAAGTAAATCAACCAATGAGAGAGTGTTGTTCAGACAGACTGTTTCGTATCGACATGGACACACACTATTAAAACAGATAGATATCTAGATATGATAGCTATACAACGGTTGATAGTTGTTTGTACATGTTTCAAGTATCGTATGTTAGTATTTTGTGTGTGTGTACGTGTGTGCCAATTTAAACTGAATAAATTAAAGTATTGGCTTATTTGTAGGAACTTTGTCTGTGTTTAATTTGGTTGGAGGATTTCGTCATGAGCACTGACATTGGTTGGTGGTTAGAGAACCATTGAAAAAGCCACCGCTGGTAGTATTGCCAGACAGCTGTTTCCTCCATCCTGATCATTGGGGACTCTGCTTCAGCAGTACATACTCACCCCCACCGACAGGGTTCGAACCCAGAAATTTCTGGTTAGATGGCGAATTGGCAGATGTTAGAATTCATGGGTTGGCTGGGCGGCTGGCCACTGGATTAGGTCCCGGTGAGTGGTTGCTTAATAGTCCACGAGCTAGCCTGCTCGCCTTGTAACCAGAAGGTCCTGGGTTCGAACCCTGTCGGTGGATGGGTGAGACATCTTTGAAAACAAGATCCCGTTGCTGACCAACTCCACGTGCGTTTTTTAATTCACCTGCTCGTGTGAAGCTAGGTATATCAGTTGTTGGAATCGATTTTTATTATCCAAGAGGCTGAAAAACACTATCCTGCATGGTAGTTACCAAGAGGTAGAAGTAGAGCAATAAGAAGCATGACCACTGAACATCTGGTCGATAATGATGACCTAATGATCCTTACAGCCTCCAACTTAAAAGTTATTTTCAAGGCGAAAAGTAATTTACTCAAATCACTATGTGCCTTTAGACTCATCTGTATTGCTGAAGTATCTACCTATGGTCATTGAAATAGAAAAGCCAGATCTCTGTGTATACAGAAAAAGTTAATTCATCTTCCATGGACTTAATCCCTTTTTGCCAAAGTATCATCATAGTGAACGAAATATCCCCATATTGAGTCATTAGACAAGGCACAAACGGAGAAGAAAATTTTCCCTTTTCGACGATTTATTTTCATCAGTTGCTGTACAATCGTAATTATAATTAAACACAGAAGTTATTTTTCGACCAATCAGATACTGGTAAATTTTGTCCTTGAAAAGTTGTATTACATAATGTAAGGTGTCACCTAGAAGGGAGGACTAATTGTAAGTTATAGAAAGGAGACAGAAGTTGGCATGACGTACGTGATAAGTGTGAAATAATGACCAACTAATCAATAAGCTCATCATGTAGAATGGACAGGAACACTAGTGGAAAGGCTATAAAGTATTTTTGTATAAGATCTGTGTGGAAAGCAATGTTATTAATAAACAGTAATAGAGTGGTAATAAAATGTGGATGGTGGGAATAGTAATAATAATAAAAGTATTAAGAACAGTAATAATAATAATAGTGAACTTACATATTAAAAGAGAGGAGAAAAATTATAGTAAGAAATTTACTCTGGCCATGGTAGGGCTAGAGAATGTATGTATCGTTTTTGTATGCATAGGTCCGGTTTTATGTCACGAATAGCTAATGCCTCAGCTATGTACAGATGTCGTATCCGGAGTCCTTTTGTACGATATTGAGGGACTCTGTGTACCACTGTGAAGCATTCGTGTGGGGGTGCTCGATGTCCGGAGATAACAAGGTGTTCGAGGATTGAGCTGTTGCTATTCTTCTTTTCTCCTCTGGCTAACCAAGCTGGGCAGTGTTCCAGGATACGTTTGTGGACTTGACGTTGCGTACGGCCGATATACTTTGCTCCACACGAGCAAGTGAATTGATAAATACACATTGAAGTGGCCAAAGGCGGTATCTTGTCCTTAACGTTAGACTGGATTAACTGTCTGCAGGAGAATGTTATACGTAGAGTGGCTGTTGGGAATGTCTTCTTCAGACTTTTTGAAAGGCGGTTTCTGAGAATTTCCGCTGCGATGTCACCTTTGAATTCTAGGTTCATGAAGAGAGTCTTCTTAGGAACCGTTGTGATATTTGGCACCGGGGGCTTCTCCTTCATGTTTTTGTCGATGAATCTTGGCGGATACCCATTCTCTAGTAGGGTTTCACGCAATAAATTTAATTCTTTCTCCACCGTGTCTTCCGAGCAGATTTTTCTAATCCTTGAGCACAATGTACGTACCAAGTTTCTCTTTCGGGTCAGTGGAACAAAGCTCTGGAAGTTGATAAACTGTCCAGTCCATGTTGGCTTACGGTATATCGATCTTTGGATCGTACAGTCGTCTCTTCTGGTGAGTAATACATCGAGGAATGGAAATGCGTTGTTCGATTCGCGTTCTAAGGTGAATCTTATTGATGGATGCGCTGCGTTGAAGGTTTTCAGGAGAGAATCTAAATCACATTTTTCATCACAGATTATAAACGTATCATCTAAGTATCTCTTGTATAAGTGCAGTTTACTTATCAAGGGATCAAGGATGTTGTTTTCAAGACTCGCCATGAAACAGTCAGCTAGGAGTGGACCGAGAGGAGACCCCATGGCTACTCCATCTTTCTGTACATAGAACTGTTCATTGAATTTGAACTGGATATTGAACGTGCATCTGAGAAGAAGTTCCTTCAGGTAGTTTATGGGGAGAGGAACTTCTATGTTGTTGGTTTCTATGTAATTACAAATGAAGCATATTGTCTCAGTCAGGGGGATACTTGTGAATAGAGAGGCGACATCTAGTGAGATCATTTGTCTTTCATACACGTTGACATCCTTCACTGAGTCGATGAAGTCAAATGTATCTTTGAGGCTATATTTTGTCATATGTCTTTTAACTGGTTCGAGGATATCAGCTAGCCACTTCGCGATTTGGTGATACGGTGAGTTAACCATGTCTATGACCGGTCGAAGTGGAACATTCTCTTTATGCACTTTCGGCAGTCCATACAGTCTTGGAATAGTTGAACTACATGGTTTTATTTGCTCATAAACCTCCTGTGTTATGACTGAATCTTCTTTCATTCTCTTCAGCAATTTTGTGAGTAGGTTTTCTGTTCTTTCGGTTGTGTAATTTGGTTGGGTGATTCAAAGAATTTGGTTTTGTCTGATAGTATATTTGTCAATTTCTCATTATAATCGGATCTATTCATCATCTGAAACTTTTTTGACGTTTCCACAGAATCCGGAGAAATATGTATTCGATTTCTCGAACTTTTCTCTGATTTCTGTTCAAAGGCAAGTCCTATCACTTGGCCCAAAATTTTGCCATGTATCGAGTAAAACCAACGAATTACATACTAAAGTGCAGTTTGAGAATTTAATGTCACAGACATCCGATTTGTCACCGACTTCGGAAAAAGACCTAGATCAATTCAATGATTCAATTCTTGACAGCTGTTACAAGTACATTCGTACGCAACCGACCCACCGTTACCTATCAACCAAAGAACACAGAAGACAACTTAAACAACTTCAAGAAAATAAGGACATAATCCTTGTCCGTCCTGATAAGGGCAGTGGGATTGTAGTGATGAATAGATGATGAATACGATTGTGCAGCAGCTGATGAAAATAAATCGTCGAAAAGGGAAAATTTTCTTCGCTGTTTCTGCCTTGTCTTTTAATAATAATCCCTAATCATGTTTGCCTCTACCAATTTTGTCATTTTTTCTATTCATTTTGTATACTCTGCTTTTATTGCGTCAATTTTAACTGTTAATATCCCCACTCTGAATTGTCTCCGGTGTTTTTAATCGGTATTTTTCCACTTGTTATTGTAAATCAATTCCTCTGTTTTACAACGTTAAATTCTATGCTATTAAATTTCACACAATATTTCGTAACGTTTTTGTTTGATTGGATTTGTCTACTAATCCTATAATTGCACACCCCCTTTTTCAAGTTCTGTCCCTCCTATGAATTATTCTATATATGACATTAATTTGCTTTGCCACTTGACATTTAACTACGATTATAATCACAAGAATTTAAATTTAAATTGCATTTCATACTATTATTATTATTTTACGCATTTACACCTATGATTCAATTCCCTCACCGGATATAACAGGATATAATTTCTTAAAAACTACATAAATAGCTCATTTACCAGAGATCATGAAAAAGTCAACGACCAATCGATAGTTGATTTACTTTTGTTTGGAATACTCCAGTAGTCTACATGTTCGACTTCATTAAGGATTCAAACGATGACAGTCAAACAAGAATTTAATTCTCAAGAGTTGATTTGTAAGGATTAGATTTGTTTTTTCGAGCTGGGGGGGTGTATTGGACAGCTATTTCCTCACCAGCAGTATACACCCTACTCACTGGAGTTCAAAACGAAGACTGTGGTTTTCAATGGTTCTCTAACTGATAGTAATCCGTGGTGAAACTCGTAAAAACAAATCTAATCCTTACAAACCAAACTATAGAAAATTAATCTGATGCTCGCTAGTGACTTGCTACATGTTGAAGTTTCCTGAGTTCTAGTGAGAAGTCGTGATCAGTGAGGTCCAATTAGATGTCATGTGTGTGGATGGATGTCCCACCAACGACAATGGTTGGGGTCGCGCTAAATCACGAATTGGTAGAAGTTAGAGTTCATGAGCCAATTAATCGGGACCCAGTGGCTGAATGATATACGAGGTAGCCTGGTAACCGGAAGATCCTGGGTTCGAATCCCAGTGGGTGCGTACTTCCGATGATTCCCAAACAAGGATGAAACAGCAGCTGTCCAGTACTCGCTGGTTTTCAATCCGTGATCAACTCGTAGAAACATAACTAAGCATAGCTTCCACCAGGTAAGTTCCATTCAACTGCCACAACGCAG